TTTTTTAAAAAAAAAAAAAAAAAAAAAAACAAGTTAAAACTCTCATCTTGGTTAAAATTCTAAACATCTTTCTAGTAAAACTCATATTTTTACCCTTTGAATGGGTATCATGTGGACGTAGCCTCAACCTCGTTCCCAGGGGTTTTCCCTTCTCGTGGGGGCACCCCCCACGAGAAGGGAAAAGCCCTGGGAACGAGGTTGGGGTAGCCTGTGGACTGTGTGTAAACAAAATGGCGGACACCAGATTGTTACACTTACTGTCTAACTTTTTGTAACTAGCCATTTAGATTTAACTAAAGGTTGCCTAATTTGTTGTAACTACCGTATTTATTCGATTAACCGCCCTGGGCGCTGATTAAATTTTTGGACCTTGAGAGTGAGCGCTTATTCGGGGTGGGCGTTTATTCGAGGCTGGGCGCTTATTAAATTTTCACCATTTTCAGAAAGTGAAGTATGTTTATTTTGTAACAAAACAATAAATACTAATAACAAAACGCGAAGAAGTAACAAAGCAAGGTTTCTGTAAAATACTCTGAAGAGCTCCGTCCTCGGGGAAGTCTCTTATTAGAATTTATTCACTCAAGTGGGTGGGGTGGGGTGAGCGCTTATTTGAGTTTGATTGGGAGGAGTAGGGGGTGGGCGCTTATTAACTTTTTCTGCCTTTAGGATGGGCGCTTATCCGAGGTGGGCGCTAATTCGAGGTTGGGCGCTTATTCGAATAAATACGGTAGTGACTTAGTTGTACCTTAATGTTGATTACAAAGCAATTGCTATTTGAAATTAGACATGCTGTCTTAAAAATATTCGAGCAACTTTACAAAATTTTTGAGCAACTTTTTCAATTTTGAGCAACTTTTGAGCAACTTTGTGGCATATTTCTTAGCAACTTTTTAGCTTTTTCGGAGCAGAATCTGGAAAGGCCTACCCTCCGCGGGGAGGGAGCACGACTGTTTCCCCTCTCCAGAAGAAAAATTCAAACGCCTGTTTGCGCGCAGATCACTGTAATTTCATAATTTCTAACGAAACACCCACTCCTAAAACCAACTGACAGCTGTTAGCAAGGTTAAATACGGTATTTCACCCTGCCCTTACTAATTAGATCGTACAGCGGCTTCCTTGTATAGCATGCGCCTGAAGTTACAATGACGTCACCCCTATCCCTGAGCTCACTCTGTGATTGGTTGTTTCAAACCAAGACCTTCAAGGCGGTTTGATTCAAGAATTCTTGTCCGACATATTGATTTTCGAGCTGTTGTTCGGAAACATTTTCCTGATTTTCCATGGTGAAGAACATCTTTTTGCAGTGACCATGAAGCCAGCGTAAGTACGAATCACATTTTGTGGATTGATATTGATATTCAAAAGTAAACTGACTTGCATCTTTCGTTTAGTCCGAAAACCCCTTCTTCGACGAAGACCCCGCGCGGTGGCAAGACACCTAGAAGACCGGCGGTCAACAAGTTGAAGGATCCCGTGGAGGTATGGAAGAAGATATCGTTATTTTTCATAGGTCACAGGTTTCAATTTTATAGAGTCGGTTTCAGTAGATGAGTTATCAAGCGGCTTATAGCTTAACTAGCTAGGTGGTCTTACAGAGTGTTGATTTTAATTTATTTTGTGGTACAACCTTACACTGCATTTTTAAGTTTATACATGATGTATGTAGATGGATATAAGCCTAAGCCTTTAATTATGTTTTCGACACGAAAAGGCACCCTGAAATACTATTAGTATATTACAACTAAGGCAAATAAATCGGAACAGACTGGCTTTCCAGTTTAGCAGTATTTTGATCCCTGAAACGATCCCAGAATCAAAATATCGGGTTTCTGTTTTGTTCTACTAAAATTCGTCAGGAACGTTGCTCTGTTTCCAGCCCGGCATTTATAGGTAATACACAGCAACTTTATCACACCAAAAAGGGATGAGTAATGTAAATGATGACCATATGTCATCTTATGAGGAGATGATTTGGAAGTCGTATTTGGCCTGGTATGTGTTTGTAAATTTCTCATGGCCTCTTCACTGCATGCATTTTTGTGAATGATAAAACAATGCTGATTTTGGACGTTATAGGTTTATTGCCGAATTCGACCTCTTGGAGACAATGAAGAAGAGTCTTGTGTACAAATCATTAGTGACACGATATTACAACTCACTGCACCAAAGGTATTTTTTTGTTTAATTATTTTAAAAGGGTATTTCGCTGGTTAAAGGTTGATTTTCATTAGCAAAGGAGTCAGAGTCGTAATCAGAAGCATATAACTTTATGATCTAGTGAAAACAGAATTCTGTTTCGTCTGATTCCGCTCACAACTCTGTCATTTACGTTCAAGTGAAAACTGGGTCGTCGGAGTCACAAGCAGAAGCAGAAGAAGTAAACAAATCACAAACCATAGGAATGTGTCTTGTGATTGGTTTATCCTTCTGCTTCTGCTTTAGACTCCGACAATGTGGTTTTCACTAGATCGTAAGCGGAACATTAGAGAAGGAATTGGAAGCGGAGTCGGAAGAAAATGGAAATGTTCTGATTCTTCTGACTCCAATTCATCGCGCTTGTGACACTGCTTGGAACTGTGATTTTTGAGTTTCATTAGGTCCACTCACAACTCCAACTCTGTCGCTAATGAAAACCAGCCTTAAGCTTTTCAGTTAATCCCATATTATTATCATGCATACACTGTACATGTTTTGCCTCTACTCATATTAACTATTTGGTGACATAGCATGAAATTGCTTCAGGCATGAGAAATGTATGGGGCTGTATGGAAATCTACAATCAACAACTAGGGCCCCTACAACAACAGGTACTACATAGCGCTTATTAACTTTTTCTGCCTTTAGGATGGGCGCTTATCCGAGGTGGGCGCTAATTCGAGGTTGGGCGCTTATTCGAATAAATACGGTAGTGACTTAGTTGTACCTTAATGTTGATTACAAAGCAATTGCTATTTGAAATTAGACATGCTGTCTTAAAAATATTCGAGCAACTTTACAAAATTTTTGAGCAACTTTTTCAATTTTGAGCAACTTTTGAGCAACTTTGTGGCATATTTCTTAGCAACTTTTTAGCTTTTTCGGAGCAGAATCTGGAAAGGCCTACCCTCCGCGGGGAGGGAGCACGACTGTTTCCCCTCTCCAGAAGAAAAATTCAAACGCCTGTTTGCGCGCAGATCACTGTAATTTCATAATTTCTAACGAAACACCCACTCCTAAAACCAACTGACAGCTGTTAGCAAGGTTAAATACGGTATTTCACCCTGCCCTTACTAATTAGATCGTACAGCGGCTTCCTTGTATAGCATGCGCCTGAAGTTACAATGACGTCACCCCTATCCCTGAGCTCACTCTGTGATTGGTTGTTTCAAACCAAGACCTTCAAGGCGGTTTGATTCAAGAATTCTTGTCCGACATATTGATTTTCGAGCTGTTGTTCGGAAACATTTTCCTGATTTTCCATGGTGAAGAACATCTTTTTGCAGTGACCATGAAGCCAGCGTAAGTACGAATCACATTTTGTGGATTGATATTGATATTCAAAAGTAAACTGACTTGCATCTTTCGTTTAGTCCGAAAACCCCTTCTTCGACGAAGACCCCGCGCGGTGGCAAGACACCTAGAAGACCGGCGGTCAACAAGTTGAAGGATCCCGTGGAGGTATGGAAGAAGATATCGTTATTTTTCATAGGTCACAGGTTTCAATTTTATAGAGTCGGTTTCAGTAGATGAGTTATCAAGCGGCTTATAGCTTAACTAGCTAGGTGGTCTTACAGAGTGTTGATTTTAATTTATTTTGTGGTACAACCTTACACTGCATTTTTAAGTTTATACATGATGTATGTAGATGGATATAAGCCTAAGCCTTTAATTATGTTTTCGACACGAAAAGGCACCCTGAAATACTATTAGTATATTACAACTAAGGCAAATAAATCGGAACAGACTGGCTTTCCAGTTTAGCAGTATTTTGATCCCTGAAACGATCCCAGAATCAAAATATCGGGTTTCTGTTTTGTTCTACTAAAATTCGTCAGGAACGTTGCTCTGTTTCCAGCCCGGCATTTATAGGTAATACACAGCAACTTTATCACACCAAAAAGGGATGAGTAATGTAAATGATGACCATATGTCATCTTATGAGGAGATGATTTGGAAGTCGTATTTGGCCTGGTATGTGTTTGTAAATTTCTCATGGCCTCTTCACTGCATGCATTTTTGTGAATGATAAAACAATGCTGATTTTGGACGTTATAGGTTTATTGCCGAATTCGACCTCTTGGAGACAATGAAGAAGAGTCTTGTGTACAAATCATTAGTGACACGATATTACAACTCACTGCACCAAAGGTATTTTTTTGTTTAATTATTTTAAAAGAGTATTTCGCTGGTTAAAGGTTGATTTTCATTAGCAAAGGAGTCAGAGTCGTAATCAGAAGCATATAACTTTATGATCTAGTGAAAACAGAATTCTGTTTCGTCTGATTCCGCTCACAACTCTGTCATTTACGTTCAAGTGAAAACTGGGTCGTCGGAGTCACAAGCAGAAGCAGAAGAAGTAAACAAATCACAAACCATAGGAATGTGTCTTGTGATTGGTTTATCCTTCTGCTTCTGCTTTAGACTCCGACAATGTGGTTTTCACTAGATCGTAAGCGGAACATTAGAGAAGGAATTGGAAGCGGAGTCGGAAGAAAATGGAAATGTTCTGATTCTTCTGACTCCAATTCATCGCGCTTGTGACTCTGCTTGGAACTGTGATTTTTGAGTTTCATTAGGTCCACTCACAACTCCAACTCTGTCGCTAATGAAAACCAGCCTTAAGCTTTTCAGTTAATCCCATATTATTATCATGCATACACTGTACATGTTTTGCCTCTACTCATATTAACTATTTGGTGACATAGCATGAAATTGCTTCAGGCATGAGAAATGTATGGGGCTGTATGGAAATCTACAATCAACAACTAGGGCCCCTACAACAACAGGTACTACATCCACGTTTTTTATACCCCACATTCTTCTAATCTCCCATTTCAAATCCTGATATTTTTTTATTTTTTCAAATTCCTTTTCATGTATCGTACTATTTCCGCAATTACACATTTTTTAACCTTCTTGCTCACTACGATGATATCATGTCTTCTTGCTTCAACAACATTATCACATTGGATGTTCATATCCCAAGGTAGCTTTACTTCACCATTTTCCCCAACACCTTCTGGTAAATGTTCATACCATTTTTCCTTCTTTCAAGCTGGTGTAACACACACAACTTCCAATGTATAATCCTCACCACATTATCATGTTTCTTTGATATTCCTTCTGGGCTAACCTTTTTTCACTTACTTACAAGTTGACAAACACTCTCACCCTTTTCACCACACATTCTACATAATGATGACTCAGCAGCCTGATCAATGTGTCCTGAGAGTCTGTTCCTCTGCTGCACAGGACTTCCATTGGAACCTTCACGTCATCTGTCCTGCATCCATAGTTTCTGGCATATCCCTCCGGAATTGTCCATGCATTGCTTTATCCTTCCATTTTCATTAACCCTTCATTATTATTATTATTACTATTATTATCATCATCATCATCATCATCATTATTATTATTATTATTATTATTATTATTATTATTATTATTATCATAAGCCAGTGTACTTTAATACTGTGCTTGACTTGCTTGTTTTGTCAACTTAAGTACTTCTTTTTTATTGAAATATTTTGTTGATTCTATAAAGCACACTTTTCTTAATTTAACATAGTAAGCATGTTGGAAAAAAAAGGTGCGCCATGAAACCCAAAAAACTGGTGTCACATCACACTCCCCAAAGTGGCCACCTCTCTTCAAGGACCACTTATCTCCATCCCCAAGGAGGATGTTCATGGCGGCCCTTGGCTAATAAATATAAAAGTTCTTTGTCAAGTCGAATGTAAGGCTCAAGATAATGTAAATGCCTTGTTTTGCAGAATTCAGCGGGATACAAATCTGGCCACAGACTAGAGGTAATTAATATGACCTAACTTATGTAACAACTTTCTACAACTTGGAGTAGGCTGCTGTATGTGGCGTTTGATGGCTAAGTGTTTGATCATATTCTGATATTTTTTTCTTACAGTCGGTCAGCCTACTTGATAAGTGTATTACAATACTAAATTGAAACAACATTTATTGCCCTTAAACTAACATTACATTTTTCCTCTCAAATGTTCTGGCAGACCCAGCATACCTTCCAAAAGGTTTATGATGAAAAGACAACCCAAAAGCAGCTGTTTGACAATGTAGCAATGCCTTTAGTTGATGATGTTGTCCATGGGAAAAATGGTAAGAATTTTTTTACTTCTGATCTCCAAAATAATCATTTATTAATAAACATATCTGTCTGATTTCGTTAAAACGTGGCCACTGGGTTTTTGCCTGGCGCTGGGCGTAGTTCGGCTCCAGGCCAGTCCGGTGCCCAAAAATGTAGGGCACTTGACGACTTGGTTGGTACTGCTGGATAGCCCAGGGACTGCCCTAACAGTGGGTGGGTGGATCAGGCCTTGGGGTCAAAACAAGTGGGGTAGGGAGGGGTTGTTTTGACACAATCCCTTTAGTAAGCAATTGTGTTCAGTGCAGGCTTTGACTGGTGAGTACCTTGGTCTTAATTTGCCCCAGCCAGCTGAATTAGGCCTCTGCTGAGAATGATTATCATGATAATTGTAGAGCTCACAGGGCTCGAAATTGCGACTGATACGGTCGCCAATGCGACTAACATTTTCTCCTTGGCGACTAAAAATTCTGGTTTAGTCGCCACTTACGTGACCAGGTTTCTCTATGATTTAGAATTAAATTAAAAGACTAAAGTTAAAACAAACATGTCATCATATCTTGCTTTGCTTTTGTCATGAAACATGTGCCAAATTGTATAAACGAAGCCAGTTTACCTCCAAATTTATAACAACTTCTGTCCGCGATATATCTGATGGATCGTGCCACAGTACAGGGCTTCTGATAGGTCACGAAAAAAAGTCAATTTCACGGGATTTTCAGAGAAAGATTCACTGAAATTTTCGGCGCTAAGCTCGCCAAAAACCAATCAGTAAAAAAGGCTAATTTTGTGGGGATTTTCCGGGCAAATTTCGCTAGAAATCGATCGATTTTGGCGCTGATTTGACGGGCCTGTTTAATGCTTTTTAACAGAGAAAATCATTTGCTATTTTAACAACAAAGCGCTCGTGAAATGAGCCAATGGCAAAGCTTTTAACGTCATGACTAGTGCCCAGTTTTTTGCAACATAATTTCCGCCTGGTAGTTTTGGAACGTTGTTCTGCTCGTTGTGGTGGTGAAGTTTCAAGATAAATTTGCAAGTTTACAGCAATTAGACACCCCTAATAATAGCCGAGATACGTTTCAAATATGTTGTATCGACATGTAATTGATAAAGATTTCTAGTGAATTTTGTGGTATTTTGAATGTTTTTGTGAATTTCGCGGGATTTCGCAGATTTACCTGAATTTTGCGGCTCTGCATCCTCGCTAAATATCAGAAACCCTGATACTTAAAGAGCTCCGTCATTTACATTTTTCAAAATGGCGACTAAAAATTTGCATCTGGCGACTATATTTCTACAGTTAGTTGCCAAAAGGAGACCTGAGGATTTTTTTAATTTCGAGCCCTGGCTCAGTGAGAGGTGCAGACAGTCACCCACTGTCCTGGGTTGGGAGGGTCAAAGTCTTGGTACCAAGGACGCACTTAGCATAGTACCTTTAGACACTCAATGAAGCCATGTTTTCATAAATCCAGTCAGATATCAATTAAAGTTTATATCTAATATGAACTTGAAACTTTGCTGCAGCTGTAATACCGTATGTAGTTGTGTCTCCTATATTTTTTACTCACAGGCTTAGTATTTGCATATGGCATTACTGGCTCTGGAAAGACACACACTATGACTGGGACACCAAGTGACAGTGGCTTGCTTCCAAGATGTTTAGATGTTATCTTTAACTCTATTGGAGAGCTGCAAGCACCTAAATATGTAAGTTTTGAACCAGCTATATTCGGTGAGGTGACCAGGAGCTGGTTGCCAGATAACAAATGTATTGGACCAGCTTTAAGAACTTTTTGAAGACCAGCTGGAGTAAACAGTGAGCCTTATCAGCTTGCCAAAAATTCTTTTTGAACAAAAAACCGTGCAAAGAATGACTTGCACATGCCATAGCTCGCACAGATGACAACACAACACACAATCACTTACCTTGTTAACAAATTCAAAAGTTGTTCTTTTTAGATTACAGTATAAAACTCATGGTAAAAAGTTCAACAACAACAATGACATTTATTGACCCCTTATACATAAGAGAGATGAAATTTACATCCAATAAAAATTAAAGCCAAAAGGGGAGTTGTCTTCCTAAAATAACTAATAAGTAACAAGTGAGTTTTGAGTTTTGAGTGCACTTGGGGGGATTGCTAAGCTCACAAGAACTAGAGGTTTTAGCTTGTTGATGTCGCCAGCATGCTCAATGGGGATACGAGAGCATGCTCGTGCTATTGAATTTCATCAGGCGAATGTCCTAGCTGTTATAAAATTAATCATGTTTGCTGGCTTCTCAACATTTATGTGTAAGACAAAGTTTAATAATGACATTTAAGCTTTTGGCCTTTGCCGCCTGTTACTGTCTGGTTAATATTCTGCCTACTGTTGTAGGCAGGATGACGTGGCTGTATTTGTTACAATTATGTTGTCTTTAAATTCCTCCTGCAAGGTTTTCAAACTGGACAAAACAAATGGTATTGAAATACAGACTGAACTTGAAGCTAAGCTGGAAAGAGAAAGGCGTGAAAAGGAAGCTGCATTGCAGGCCCCACCTCCAACGCCAGGATCAAGAAATAGGTACAATAAATAGTAAAATTATTGTCAAAGTTTTTTTTTTGTCTTGTCCTGGGCCCTGTTGTTCAAACGTTAGGCAAAAACCTTGACCTTTTGACCAACTGGCAACCTAAACTCAATTTCAGTTTGTTTGTCTGACATGGTGGCTTGGCCAGATATCAGTCCTTTTAAGAAAGAATTTACAGCTGCTGTTTGTGCCAAAATAGAAGTAAAAAGCTGGTAGATCAAGTATGAAATAGACATCTGTATGTACAAGCCTCTCCATAACTAGTGAATTAACAAAGTTTGTATGGTATATAGAAACAAGTTTGAATTGAGTTGCTTTAGCTTTTGTATATTGTTTTTACTTTCAGAAATGCTGATAATGATTTTGCTGATGTAATAAGAGTCCCTGAAACAGGGATTGTCAATGATGTGAGTGAATGAACTCTTTGGGTAGTTGTTCTGACATGTACTAGTTACCTTGTAATGTCTGGATTAACTTTCTTTCTAATTGTTTGAATGCAGGTGGATGAAGACAACAGCTACGCAGTGTTTGTCTCTTATTTTGAAATTTATAACAATTATGTTTATGATCTTCTTGATGAGACTCCAGTGGACCCCATCTGTCCAAAGTAAGTCCATAAAAAAGTTTGGATAGTTTTAAATGTTGCAGAAAGCTTGTCTTATCAGTCTAATTTGTCAAGTTATAAGTCAGGTATGGGTTAGGCACAGAGGATAGAGTTTGGGTTAGCCCAACTTGAACCACTCATGGTTTACATTTGGTTCATGAAATGTTGTAATAATAACATAATAATAACATTTATTTATTTATACAGCGCAAACTCAACTATACAGTTTTCAAATGCGCCTTACAATTAAAAATTACACAAATGAATAATTATCTAATCTATAAATTACAACATTATATCAGAAAAGGAGAGCTACTCTCTCTACCGTAAAGCCGTTAATCAAGAGCTTAAATCGCTCCGCAGCAAATACTTTGCCTCAATAGTTGGTGAAATGCTGTCAAATGGATTGCTGGAATGGTTCCCTGTGCCAGTTCGGACAGCATTCTCTCCAGTTTACACCTGGATGGTGAACTCGGTGAACTTGAAATCGCTAACAAAATTAACTCGGCCTTCCTTGCTCCCATGGAAATCTTCCAGCCAGTGAATACATAGGGGTCATCCTTATAAGGTGCAACTGCCTCTAATGGCCCATTAGAGGCAGTTGCACCTTATAAGGATGACCCCTATGTATTCACTCTATCAGAGCCTGCAGTCCTGGCCGTCCTGAAACAACTAAATCCACGCAAAGCTGCTGGACCTGACTGTGTACCCAGTTGGCTCCTGCGTGAGTACGCTAAGGTTCTTGCCGAACCAGTAAGAGCAATTCTGAACTCTAGCTATAAAGAGTAAAGACTACCTTCGCCCTGGAAGCTAGCTGATGTTGTCCCGCTCCCCAAGCAGAAGCCTGTGGAAGATCTTAGCAAGCAGCTGTGCCCCATCTCCCTGACTCCCGCCATCTCGAAACTCGCGGAAGATTTTGTTGTATCTACCCATGTCGGCCCTGCTGTGCTCAAGGTCATTGACCATGATCAATACAGCTCTGATCTCGATGTTTCACTACTGGTTACAAGCCACAGACGGTACAGGTGCAGCTGTCAGGGTCGTGTTATTTGATTACCGCAAGGCCTTTGACCTTATCGATCATAAGATACTTGTCACTAAGATCAATGGCCTCGATATTCCGCACAGCATCAAAGCCTGGGTGACTGACTTTTTGACAAATCGACACCACCGCATCAAGTTGTCCTCAGACTGCTTCTCTGAGTGGGGTCCAGTCCCCACCGGAGTTCCTCAAGGGACCAAGCTCGGACCTTGGCTTTTCTTACTCATGATCAATGATCTCAAGGTTGACGCTCTCATGTGGAAGTATGTGGACGATATGACAATCTCCCAAACCATACCTCGCGGCTCCCTGGGTGATGTGCAACACGCTGTTACTGCAGTGGAGGACTGGTCTCGCTCCCAGCGGATGCAACTAAATGCTGACAAGTGCAAGGAGATGGTTATTGACTTTAAGAAGATCTCTCATAACTTCTCCCCTCTCGAGGTAGACTGAAACGAGCTTCCTGTCACCAACTGTGCGAAGTACTAGGTGTTACGATATCCATTGACTTGAAATGGAACAAGCACGTTGTAGATTGCATTAAGAAAGCAAATAAGCGCCTGTATTTCATTGTTCCCTTGAAAAGGGCTCGTGTTCCCCTTAATGACATTGTGAATTTCTATATATAACAATCAGACCTGTACTAGAATACTGCGCTCCGGTTTTCCATCATGCACTCCCGGCTTACCTTAATGAGGATATAAAAAGAATTCAGAACAGAGTGCTTTCCTAATTTCATCTTCCATGTCATATTGGGAATGCCTTGACAGCCTAGGCCTGCCAACGCTATATGATAGACGCAACAGACTATGTAGACAATTGTTCGATTCCATTGCTGCCACCAAGAAAACAATCCAGCTATAATTTAAGGCGTCAAAAGTTATACAATTTGCCACGTTCCCATATGGAATGTTTCAGATGCTCTTTTGTTTATGCTATGTCCCAGGGTTGTGCATAAAGCTCTTAAAGTTTCAAAGAAGTCGACTTTATTGTAAGATTTTTATACATATTTTTTTAGTTTTACTACACAAGGTATTTATATTCATATGATTGTAATTAGTTTTATATTTTAACTAATGTTATTTGTAAAATACATAATTCAGTTTTATGACTGCAAAGTATTTATACGATAAACGATTTAGCTATCTATCTAAGGCCTTTTTTAAAAGGTGAGTCCTCAAATTACGTTTAAAAACTTCAAAATCGGAGGTGCATCTAAGATCTAATAAAAGATTATTCCACAGTTTTGGTGCAGCGGCTACAAAGGCTCGGTCACCACGAGTAGGGAGAGTCCTGAAGTTTGGATTTCAAAGCAGATATTTGTTATTTGACCTGAGGCTGTAGGAAGAATTAGGTTTAAAGTTAACGAGAGATGATAAATCATTAGGAGCTGTTCCATGGATTGCTTTTTGAGAATACTAATCTTAAATTCTATTCTAAACGTTAAGGGCAGCCAGTGTAATTCGTATAATATTGGTGTGATATGGCAATACCGTGGCGCTAGATATAGAACTCTTGCAGCTGCGTTTTGAACACGCTGCAGTTTAGTGAGGGCGCAGTGGGGTAGTCCGTATAAAAGTGAGTTACAATAGTCCAATCTGCTTGTGATGAAAGCGTGGACTAACTTCTCGGCAGATTCTATGCTTAGATATTTTTCTGACGCGTCTAATATTGTGTAGATGAAAAAAAAAGCACTCCCACAAGTTTTGGTTATGTTAAAGTTCAGGTTGAAATGGCAGTCAAACCAGGCCCCTAAGTTTCTAAGAGGTTCCATGCTGGGAGAGATGATGGATTCGCCAATAGTTAGAGTAGCGCTTTAAGTTTTCTGTAGCTGCGCCTTCGTCCCAATGAGCATAAACTTAGTTGGAATCATTGATCATGAGTTTGTCATTGATCATCCAGCTACGGATGTCACAGAGGCACGCTTCCAATGGTGGCATCTTGATCGGAATCATCGTTTGCATTGAATGCCAAATAGGTACCGGTATCATCGGCGTAACTGTGCGCTGTTGGCAAGTGCTGGCTAATTACATCAAAAAGCTCACTAGTGTAAATGGAGAACAGCATTGGGCCGAGATAGGAGCCCTGTGGCACACCAAACTTCAGATCAAAACTGTCTGACCTTGCACTGCTGATTACAATACGCTGGGATCTATTGACAGATAAGATTTAAACCACGTTACTGCTTGATCTTTAATTCCAAATTTGTGTTCCAGGCGCCGCAGTAATATATCATGGTCTACTGTATCAAAGGCAGTGCGTAGATCTAGGAACACAAGTAATGTGACTTGTTGTTTGTTCATGCTGACAAGTATGTCGTTGTGCATGCCCAGTAAGGCAGTCTCTGTGCTGTGATATTTGCGGTTGGCTGATTGAAATTCTGCATGGAAACATCTGATTGAATGACACTTGATCACAGATTTGTAGTGCAGCTGCCTTTTCAGTGATCTCTGAAAGGAATGCGAGATTGCTGACGGGCCGGTAGTTTTTCTTTATCAAATCCACGTTGACTCTCTTTAACTTTGGTCTCACTAAACCCTCTTTCCACATGTAGTTTGTAGTTACTCAGAGTAACCAGTTAGTCTTAAGTGAACAGCAGTAGTAACTTGTCTGATATGGCAAGAGAAACTTTTTTTTTCATTTGTAAACATAAATAGTTTAGTTTGTCAAAGCATTGGTTGTGGTTATCAGACCAATCTACCTGTAAACAATAAACACATCCTGTTGTAAGCCCCTCTATAGCTTGTTTTAAAATAAATTTGATTTATTATAGTACTTTGAGCTTAACTAAAACTGGTAGATTCAAAATCTCCTTTTTATCAGCACTGATATAGCTTGTTTCTAAGTGATTTTCCTTTTCCATTTATAAGCCCACTTAATCTCTTGTATTTAAACCCCTCCATGTATAAGCCCTCCCAAAACCTGTTACAAAGGTTTAACGTGTGAGTCGCACATGGAGATTGGGTGCCTAGAACCTGGAGGCTGGAGCTGCCTACCCCTAACCCAGGTAGCATGAACACCCCAAAAGGCCAAGGCCCTGGGTGAGGAAAAGGGAAGGACCTATCTGTCAAGCAACAAATAGGCTGAGAGGAAATCCAAAGGAATTGGAGTGGCAGCATGCTCTGCTGGAGGGGCCAGGTGCCAAAAACGCTGAAACTGGAAATGGGAGGGAGCATCAGCAACAGGGTTAGCTTCACCACAAACAGAACTGATGAGGCCTAAAAGGAAAAGGAATGGTGCACTGCCAACAAAGCTAGGAAACTCATCAGAACCATTAAGTAAGAATCTCTAGGGGTGCCAGAGGACAGAGCAGCCACCACCAACTCATTGTCACGCAAGAACTCAAACCACCTTGAGGACCATGGGGTCCCTATAAAATAATACGAAGCCACAACAATGGGAAAGAGTTCCTTATATGCAGTAGACAGGGGTTGCGGTGATGCTGACCATGAACCACAAAACCACTGGTTGTTGAAGATGGTGCCATAGCCCAGAGTGCCTGCGGTGTCAGATGAAACTTGGATATCAGGAAGAAGAGCACATTCTGGCATCAAGAAGAAGCTGAGCCCATCCCAACTTTGGATAAGTTTGTGCCACCAAGTCAGGTCAAGACAGAATTCCTGGTTCAGATGAATTGGATGGTCATCACATCTGAAAGAACACAGTAAGTTAATCATGTGATGAAGGAATGTTCTACCCTTGGGGACAATCTTGCATCCATGGTGGAGGTGGCCAATAAGGGACTCTAACTCCTACTGTTTGCAAAATCGCTTGCCAGACCATGTTTCCAGCAGAATAATAATTCACTCTCTCTTGTCAGTAGGAAGCCGTGCCTGCTCAATACCTAGGATCGACAGGCGAGTAGACAGATCCTCCAGCTTGTCCGGGTGAAGAGGGAGGCCGAGTTTGGAATACAGCTGAATACTCGCCTACAAATTGTTGTGATACACCAAAGAGACTTGGGGACCCAGGGTGAAAAAAACATCTAAATAATGACAAAGGAAGTCAACACCATGGTGAGAGGTCAGCATCCACTGTACCATATCTGCAATAGCAGTAAAAATGTTTCAAGCGGACCAAAGACCAAATGGAAGCACCATGTCCACGTAGTATTTATCCCACCATTTCATCCCTAAAGGCCAAAAGCAGGAGGTCCAAAGGATATGAATAGCAACATTGCAATAGGTGCCTGCCACATCAAGCATTACCATCAGGGTGCCAGGGCCTCAGGCCATGATGCCACCAATACAGGAGTCAACTGTAATGTACTGGACTGAAAAGAGATCTTTAGAATGCCATCATCAACACTGTAGCCATCTGGAGACGAGAGGTCAACACCGCTTGGAACTGAGAAAACTGTAATGGAGACACTAAATGTACAGGTGTTAAAGATGAAAATGAGTGGACAGGAACAGACATGTTAGGAGAATCTACAGAACTAGAACAAAACAAAGCTGCTAAGCAATGCAGTCCACAAGGCTGGTCAGGGCGAACAGGAACGTTACACTGTTTACAGGAATCACTGTAGACGGCTGGACCCCTTCAGTACCTCCCTGCTTCAGGGGAGGGGAAGCGAGACAATTGGTGCCAAAGGAACGAAATGGGCAGCATACCCTCAGATGGTCTCCGTCACATGAGCTGCAGATGTGGCGGAAGCGGCAGTCCCCAAAATGCCATAGGCACGGATCTCTGTTTCATAAGATACTGTTATACATTAAAAGGGAAGGGCACTGTTTCCCGGTGAGCTGCCACTGGTGTGGATGGGCAGGAGGATGACAGCAATGAGGTGGGGAAAGCTGGTGAGTGCAAGTGAAAATTATATTGGTCCAAATTCATCCTGGATCAGTCAGATGCACCAGTTGCGGCAGCATCCCTCCCAAAGGCAAGGTCATACTCTAGCCATGCACGACCAGATGATTGTCAGTTTGAATGATCAGCAACTTGTATTTTGTCGTATCTGACCAGTGATGGGGATGGGAAACACAGATCACCATTTGGGAGATTGTAAAGGCCTCAGTATAAGTAAGGCTGTCTTCTTCTTCAACCTGCGGACGCTTTTTGGAGACCAATAACTTGCCATCCAGAAATGACTGGGGCTCCTGGTCGACAGCATTGAGATTTGCCAACAATAAGTCTGCTAACTTCACAAAGTTGCCGCTAGTAATTTTTCACCAATTTCACAGGAAAGGGCGCATGACCTGGGCCCACCACAAATGCCTTGTCGCACAGTGAGGTCAAACTGTTGCTGCCCAAAAAGAGGCTGGAAACATGTGATGCCTTAATTGGAGCAGTGATCGATTGAGCAAGGCCCTCCTAGCAAGAGCCGTTGATAGTGAAAATGGTGGTGAACATAGACACAAATGGAGGTAATCTCAACCTACCTGAAGAAGAGGCAAGTGAGCTGGCAGCAACTATTGCTGAGCTGGAAACAACAATAATAAAATAATAATAAATAATAAAATATTTATATAGCGCTTATGCACCAGCACTGAGAAGAGAAGGAGGAAGAGGAGCTGCACTGAAAACCAGAGGCTGCACGAAGTCTGCATGAAGCGTGGAGACGAAAGTCAGTAGGGAATGTTGAAGTGCATGGGCCACCATGACCGTGATCTTGTTTGGAAGTGAATTTGATGCTCCCGATGAAGCCGTTGTGACTGCCACTGAATCCCCAGATGATGGAGGAGTTGACTTAGAAAAAAGTGGCAACAAACCTGCCATCAAGCTATTGGATGTAGATCGCAGAGTGGACCACTGAAAACTTGGAAAAAACCATGAACATGAGGGGGTCATGCATTCTGCTCTTCATTAATGGGCCAACCCACGAGTACCACGTGACAGCACAATGCAGCAATAAAAACAGTACAGAACTCCAAACTGAACAAGACGCCCTACAAACTCCGAGAAAAAAATAAAACTGAGCAAGACGCCCCGAACACTAGGCACTGTAAAACTACAAGCACATGTAAACGCACACGCATAAATTGCAACAGTAAACTGCTGACCCAAGGGGGCACTGGAAATTGCCCCGCAACAGGCCTAGTTCAGTAAAGTAAACCCTGGCAAAAATGCCAGAATATAGGAGAACTGCCAGCTCGCCAAATCACACCAATAAAACGCTAACAAATGCAAACCCCATGCTCATGCCAAGCCAACTACTAAGCAGCTAGCTCCTAAGTTAAATAAGTGTATTATCTTAACCTCATTTAATTTTCAGGGCTTGTAATTGGCAGTTTACTCTTGAAAAATATCAGCATTTCAAATTTCTTTCAATTTGACCTGTTTTTCACCACCCACTAAAGCTATACTACAGGTTCTTTGGAACCTGCCCCTTTATTCTTTACTACGTTACTCATAGTGTCTTGGTATTAATTCACAGACCACCAGCATCAAAAAATCTGAGAGAAGATAATAATCGCAATATGTATGTTAGTGGGGTAACAGAGGTTGAAGTCAAAAGTACAGAAGAAGCTTACAGTATCTTTTGGAAAGGTGAGAGGATAATATTATTGTTTCACTTCATGAAATGATTAGGTCAAATTTCAAAAGTTGGCATCAATTTACAGTAAGTTACCTTAAATTTTTGTTCCCGGTAAATATTATAATTTTGAGGTTGGAGTCTTCATTTTCATGACTTATTTTCTATTACTGTGTTTCAATGATGTCATGTGTGCTGAAGGTGGGGAGAATTTGTGTTTCTTTGACTGTTTAAGTTCGGTTTACTTCTCTCACCTGAAACTCTACTCTCCCCTTCACACTAACATATTTCATTGGACAAGAAATGTTATCTTCAAATTCACACTTAATTTAATTTCTATAATAAGATACACTCTAAAAATTCAGAAGCATATGCTTCTGATAAAATGAATTAAATACCTCACTAGGTCAACTGTAAGTACTTAAAAGCATTGACTTGCTCTTGCTAGTACTTATAAATGCTCTAGATCTGTCCACTAATTATTAGTAGGGGAGTAAAAAAAGATACTGACTTTTATTCCAGTGCATGTAGACAAAAGTTACCAGTAGGTGACAAAAGTGTTCCAATAGACTGCAAATAGTACATTTCCGATCACATCTTATGATGTATGTACGTATTATTTTGGATACAGGCCAGAAGAAGAGACGTGTTGCTAATACAGTACTGAATCGAGAGTCAAGCAGAAGTCATAGTGTTTTTGCTGTCAAATTGGTGCAAGCTCCTTTGGATCCAGATGGGGAAGANGAAGATAATAATCGCAATATGTATGTTAGTGGGGTAACAGAGGTTGAAGTCAAAAGTACAGAAGAAGCTTACAGTATCTTTTGGAAAGGTGAGAGGATAATATTATTGTTTCACTTCATGAAATGATTAGGTCAAATTTCAAAAGTTGGCATCAATTTACAGTAAGTTACCTTAAATTTTTGTTCCCGGTAAATATTATAATTTTGAGGTTGGAGTCTTCATTTTCATGACTTATTTTCTATTACTGTGTTTCAATGATGTCATGTGTGCTGAAGGTGGGGAGAATTTGTGTTTCTTTGACTGTTTAAGTTCGGTTTACTTCTCTCACCTGAAACTCTACTCTCCCCTTCACACTAACATATTTCATTGGACAAGAAATGTTATCTTCAAATTCACACTTAATTTAATTTCTATAATAAGATACACTCTAAAAATTCAGAAGCATATGCTTCTGATAAAATGAATTAAATACCTCACTAGGTCAACTGTAAGTACTTAAAAGCATTGACTTGCTCTTGCTAGTACTTATAAATGCTCTAGATCTGTCCACTAATTATTAGTAGGGGAGTAAAAAAAGATACTGACTTTTATTCCAGTGCATGTAGACAAAAGTTACCAGTAGGTGACAAAAGTGTTCCAATAGACTGCAAATAGTACATTTCCGATCACATCTTATGATGTATGTACGTATTATTTTGGATACAGGCCAGAAGAAGAGACGTGTTGCTAATACAGTACTGAATCGAGAGTCAAGCAGAAGTCATAGTGTTTTTGCTGTCAAATTGGTGCAAGCTCCTTTGGATCCAGATGGGGAAGAGGTCTTACAAGTAAGTTTTTTCAGCATCCATATCTAATTCAACTATTTGAATTGAACAATATTATACAATGTTGCTAATGTCATAAAGAGAAGAGGGCACCTATTTTGTTTGGAAGATTGTTTGTCTAGTTTGTTCATGGTGATTTCCAGTTCAAGGAGAAATCTTCAGCCTGTGGTCTTGATATAGTGATTAACAGCCTTGGATTCAGATCACATTTGTGGGGTGCTTACATTTGGGTGGAAATATAGGTAGGTGGAAGTTCTGTGAAAGAAACTTTGTAATCCTTTGTCTTTGTATTGATTCCATCCATTTAGGATAAAGACCAGATTGCAGTTAGTACTCTGTCATTATGTGATCTGGCAGGGTCAGAAAGAACCAACAGAACAAGAGCTGGTGGAGACAGACTCAGAGAAGCAGGTACTTTACATTGCAGCAAGTCAAATCACATCAAATCACCTTCAGTAGGTGCCTTCATATTTTTTTCTCTTGCCTTTCCCATTCTTTCATAGGTAATATCAATGCATCCCTGATGACATTAAGAACATGTATGGAGGTTCTGAGAGAAAATCAGGGAAATGTACAAAATGGTATTTCCCCAAAGGTTTGTATGTATAGATGTATGGCTTTTATTTGTCTTGCCAAGGTGGCAGCTGCTTATGATAGTAGAATATGATGGCCCAATGATTTTCCGCTCAAAAAGTAGAAGGACATTTCATAATTTTATTGTTTTCTTTGTTTTCAGATTGTTCCTTACAGGGATTCCAAACTGACACATCTTTTTAAGAATTTTTTTGATGGAGAAGGGAAGGTGAGATTTAAAGATGTGCACTCACTAATTTTACTGCAGTTTGAAGTTATTGACCAAGTATGTAACTTTTTCAGGTTCGGATGGTTGTTTGTTTAAACCCAAATGCAGATGATTATGACGAGAGTGTGGTGAGTACGAAATAAAGATAGATGGTAGATTTTAAGCTCAGTAAATGAATTTGAAACATGCAATAATCAGCATATTGCAAATTGGGACAGAAAAAAGAAATCTTAAGTCTCTGACAGGATTCAGACCTATGACCCTTTGAAGAGTCCCCTTAGCTACCGTGAAATTCATGGAGATTAAGGCAACATACCAGGTTCATGAAAAATGTTTTATAAGAATTGTATATTCAATTACCTGAAAAATAGTTGGTTTTGTACCCGCTAATGTACTTTTTTCGATATCCCTTTTTAGCATGTCATGAAATTTGCTGAGGTTACCCAAGACGTTGTTATAGCCAGACCTCAGTCTGTCAGGTACTGTGTGTAAAAATATAAATTGTCTCTAATTTCCAGATTTATGACACAGCATAAAGTTCAGTGGAAAGAATAACTTTCAAACAACAATAAATCATTGCCTTTTTGTCTGATGTTCATTCAAACCCCTATCAATTTTCAAATAACTAAAGATGAGTAAATTACTTAAGATTTCATACTTGTTATAAAATGTATGTTTGCCAATATGTATCAAAGTCAAAACTAATAAAACTCTGTGTTGTTTCTGAACAGATTTGACACTGGTCTGACACCCGGAAGAAGGAGAGGTATGCAAGAGATCTTTTGGGTTTCAATATGATTGTACAAAAACGGTCTCATTTTTAGCATAAAATTCTTTGAGCTGTTTGTTTGGCCAAATCAATTCTCTTTCCCAAATTTTTTTGTGAAACCTAGATTATCCCGTCAATATAAAAAAGGCAAGCGATTTAAAAATTACAAAACACTCACTCGTTACCATAACTTATAAAATAACACTCACAAAATTACCGGCTAAAGTTTCTGTTACAGAATTATGTCAAGAGGTCAAAATACTGAAGTTGTGAAGCATCTTCATCAAAGATAATTGGCTAAACACTCCTTAAATCCATTACAGTTGTGACCAAAAACATATAAAAAGACTATTTCAAAATACAGCATGTGGAAATGGGCAGAAGCCTGCAAACAGAAAATTCACCTCAACAAACATCTGAAAATCATGAGACATGCAAATACCCCAAACACTAAAAATACCCAAATTTAAAATAAAAGATGTCTACTGCGCGATTTCATTGGAAAGCATGAGAAAACTAGCCGCAAACTGTGAAGGTAAAAGTGACTTGTCATTTCCCGCAGAAAAAGGCCAGGGTGCTAAAACTTTAGCTTAAATATCTTACATTGTAAGGTGTAAACATATTTGAACGTGTAAGAACAAATCAGAGACGCATCGATCCCTGTTTCTCACCTTAACTCCATTCACTCTTTACACAAAATAATAATTTGATTAAATTTCTTCTCTTTTTTTCGTAGCGAATCAAATGTACAAGGAAGTTCTCGCTCATGTTGAGGAGAATGGCAATAAAGGTAATCCACTATGTGTGATTTGCCCAATTAATTGAACATAAACAATAACAAAGGCATTTTGCAATTTCTCTGTCTCAAAAAAGGTGCTTCGAAACTCCTTTGTCCATTTCGATTTTCTTTTGTAGATGAAGTGATCATAGCCAAACCACTGCACACTATGGGCCCACCTTTTCCATTGTTTGAAGTAAGTGAATTACTTTTGTTTTCTTCTTTCGGACGAACTTGTTGAGTTTTAATAATTGCTAATCTGTTGTATAGTATCTTACGTTTTGAACTCATTTCATTGCAGCTGAATTCTGCAGAAGATAACAACACGCTGATAACCTTGATAAATTTCCTTCAAGATAGACAAAGGCGAAGGCAGACTCTCATAGATGATTTGTCAAGGAAGGGTAAATCAATGTGTGAAGCTGTGATTATCTGACACTTGAAGTGAACATCCTTGATCAGTATGTGAACCCTTTCCTTGGACTTGTCATCACGGGTCACATCAATTCCTTTTTCCTTCTTTCTCTTGCAGAGGGAATTTTCAGGGCTCATCTGTTAGAATTAGAAAAGGAAAACAGCCAAGCGAATGGGGTAAGTATATATTGACGTTGTTTTGAAGTACAACTGCATGGGTATACTCAGCCGGTTTTTATCCAGTTTGCACTTTCCACCGTGATTTTGGGACTTCAACATTCTGTATTCGTGATAAGCGCTTACCAAACAATCTTGCTGGTCTATCGGCTTGAACTAAACTCTTTCTTCTCCCATCGATTTTTGTCCTCTAGATTATTACAAACCTCAAGGCGACGATTGAAGAGAAAGACAGGTATTTAAAAGAACAGATAGACATAAGTTTTAGGGCTGTTTTTGTGCCAACCAAGGCTTGCGAGAGAGACAGGAAGGTTGAGAGAGCGTGGTCCAAGAAAGAAGTGGTTTGGTAGTGGTCTAAGCACACCACCTTTTGATTTATTTCTAAATATTAATCTTTTTTTGTTTGCAAAGAGTTCCTTTGTGAAAAAGAGAGAGCTCGCCTGTTGTGTCCCTCTACTATACTGTATGACATTAGCGCAGATTTATCTCTTGATGTTGGTAGCCTCTTTACTTGCTCCTCGCCACTGGAGGCAAGACGTCTCTCTCCGAATTTTTCTTTTTTGCGCTGGAAACGGCGGAGAGCGATAGGGGTTGCTGTATTCGCAGCCTACAACTTCGAGGATAGATATAAAAGTTCAGTTGCATATATGTAGGTAACTCTTTTTTTGATTGTTATTTCTAGAGACATACAGAAGCTTGAAAGAAGATTGAAGGCTCTGTCACAAAAGGTATATATAGTGTGTATTATTAAACGGTTTTTATTTGTAGGTGATTATTTTGTGCTAACCTCAGAAGTACCTCATCATGTCATGATTTTCCTCTCCGTAGAACGAGATGCTCATGAAAACAGCTGAGCTGTACGAGCAAGACAAGAAGGAACTCCAATACGAGGTACAAAGTCTTGTGCAAGAAGCTTAATGCATCTGTCAACACGTTAAGGTTATTTTGACCGACTCCGCCTGAACACGGGACCACTTCTTAATGTCCCGGGTGTCGTTTTTTTTATAGTAGGGTCATGTTTCTATTAAATAACTCATTGAAAATTCAAGGACACTATTTAATCAGCGTTGAATTACTATAAATAATAACCAACTAACTAGAGCTGATTAGCTCTTGTAACCAAATCAGATTTGATTCAGAACGGCTTTCGAGCGCAGGGAAACCAACGACGTGGCAATAGCTTCGGTCGGTTGGCTGTGATGGAGGCGATGTTAAGCCGAATCTGGTTTTAACATACAGTAGAACCCCGGTAACTCGAACTCTGAAGGGAAAACAGTTCGGGTTAGCCGGGGCTCGATTGTCACTGTTAGTAATTGACAGTAACTGATTATTTGGCATTTCAGTGCATAGTACAGGGCAAATTAACTATTTCATTAAGAACGGTGACATGATTATGGATTTTTACGATAAAACGTGATCTTTTCGTTGCATTAGTTAAGACCAGTTTGTGTAGGGTTAGTTTTAGGGCGCTTTCTATGTGTCAGAACTGGCCTGCCAGACCAGTTAGTTATCAAATGAAATCGGCTTTCTCCGAAGGGTTTTTGCTGAAAAACCATCTCGTTTGTGCATACTACTAATTTAGGATTTGACTGATGTGGCTGGATAGTTTTGATTAAAAGTGAAATTCTTATAACGACGGGAATGTTCTGGCCGACCATTTCTGACACATGAAAAGTGCCCTTAGTGTTTCTACCGATTTTACGATAAGAGGAGGTATTAAATGGGACGGCATCCGAGTGGAGTGAAATTTTGATCAAGGGAAAGGAAATTTATTTCGAGTTAACCGAGTAAAAATGACTGAAAATTGGATGAAATCCCAGGGAAATAAGTTCGAGTCAGCGGGCCGGGGAGTTCAAGTTATCTGGAGTTCGAGTTGCCAAGGTGCTACTGTATCGTATTTCAGTTTTACAACTTACTTTTCATCTCCTAATAACTTTAATGATCTCCTCATTGCATTGTTCGATTATTACTAAATTGCTTGTCTGACTCGGATTCATATTTTTTCTAGCTGGATGATCAGAAGAAAAGAGCAGACAAAGAAAAAAATGACAAAGTCAAAATGAGACAGGTTAGGATTATTAGATGTTAAATTTGCACAAGCAGCCTCTTAATTAAGAGAATTAGAGAGAATGAAGGCAATATTCTTGCTTCAATTAAGACACGCATTATCTGGGCTCCTTTCCCACTAAACAGCCAGCTAAAGGCGACACCCTTTTCTGCGTTTTTGGCATCAACCTGCGACGCGACAAATTTTAACGTTTGCCTTTCCTACAAGAATAAAGAACAAAAATAAAAAGTGGATTTACACTGTTTACAGCTTTCCCTGTTAGCACAGTGTCGAGAGAAATTTCTTTTTTTTTTCGCCGATAATAAACAGAATGTAACTCTGATTCCTTTGCTGCGTCATTTTTGCCTGTCGCCACATACTACTCTTTAAAAGCTGCTTTTTTAAAACATGTCTTCTTTTCCTCTCGTAAGGCTTTGAAAGGTGTGGTTTCACAAGAAAAAGACAAATGGCAACGAGAATGTGTAAGTGTGAAGGGTTTGACTGATGCGTTTAAGTGTTAAACAGTTAAAAGACATCCCTGGCCGGTTGGGAATAACGCGAAACAAAGGCCGCTCGAGAGAGGAACTTGCCTGAGAGACGGGTCCGGGAAAGGAAAAAGTCTGTTTACAGGTTACAGAGGTAGCCTAGCTGGAGCATCTGAGAATCAGACAAGTTCACAGGCTGAACATGTTTGACTTCAATTTTTTTTTTTACTCTTCTTGAAAAGAGCTTATTTAAGGGCTACTAGAAACAGATAGACTATATTTTGTATGCTGTAATCCTTTCCTTTCTAATCATTATTATGGGGGAACTTTTGTGTTATTTATCTTATTCAGTTTCCCGACCCTATGAAAGGCAGAGCTTCCTTAACAGCCCTTACTAACGCTTTGAAATGTTTTATTACATAGTCCAAACGGGTTAAAGACAAAGAGATGGAGATGCAGGCCAAAATGTGGCAGAAGGATGAAAAGTTGCGACAGCTCAAGGAGATCGTTCAGGTATGCCGCGAACATGTCTCTCGCAAGTCTGATACAAGACCCTAGACCTACAAAAAAAGTCCTAAACTGAATGAAAATGGTCACACTGAATTTATTCGCTTGACTTAGAATTGTAGGTAGATACAGAATGGGTTTTCCAGGCTGAAGCATGACGCTTGCCCGTAGAATATGAACAACTTTGCATCAAAGGATAGGTTTTAATGTGGCACAGTTGTACTGAAGTAGAAGGAATAAAAGGCATGCTAAAGTATCTTTGTTTTTGAAATTCCAGTTAAGTGTGTTTGACACTAGATGTTTTTTGTTTTATTCCTTCAGAACATGAAACCAAACGAAAGAACGTTAACTCGTGCCCAGGCCAAAGCAGCAGCTGTACCTCGATCCAAGTCCCCACCGCCCGTGGCGAGAAAGGTAGTAAAGGTCCCTGGGTTAGATGGTGTTATTGACTTGACAGTAGCTTTTAAAAATGTGGCCTTTATTGTGTATTGAACCTGATGCTTATTTCCACGAGTCCTATACGACCTCATTGAAACACACTTCACTCGCTTTAAAGAACTTCTGAGAGGTTGAATTGTAGCAAGTAAGTCTACTTCCGTTTAGATATGAAATGGGTAAAATATCGTTGCTGGTTGGAACAGACTCGACTTTTGTCGTGTGGGCACGGTCAATGGTTTTGTTGGAAATGTGGCTCAGTCACACAGATTATCATTTAAAGTGTTAGGCTTTATTTTGTTGTAAAGTAAGTGTTGAATTATCTCGGTTACATTTCAGCCACCCATTAAATCACGNTTTTTTGTTTTATTCCTTCAGAACATGAAACCAAACGAAAGAACGTTAACTCGTGCCCAGGCCAAAGCAGCAGCTGTACCTCGATCCAAGTCCCCACCGCCCGTGGCGAGAAAGGTAGTAAAGGTCCCTGGATTAGATGGTGTCATTGACTTGACAGTAGCTTTTAAAAATGTGGCCTTTATTGTGTATTGAACCTGATGCTTATTTCCACGAGTCCTATACGACCTTATTGAAACACACTTCACTCGCTTTAAGAACTTCTGAGAGGTTGACTTGTAGCAAGTAAGTCTACTTCCGTTTAGATATGAAATGGGTAAAATATCGTTGCTGGTTGGAACAGACTCGACTTTTGTCGTGTGGGCATGGTCAATGGTTTTGTTGGAAATGTGGCTCAGTCACACAGATTATCATTTAAAGTGTTAGGCTTTATTTTGTTGTAAAGTAAGTGTTGAATTATCTCGGTTACATTTCAGCCACCCATTAAATCACGTCACAGACGGTCAAAATCATCGGATTGCTGGATAGAACACAAACCCGCCACACACTTAGAAACAGGTACGTCACATGCACCTGAAGGTATACTTTGAAAAATGTTTTCAATCAACGTGGAAATTACTTGCGGCTGTACGAGCTTTCCTGCGTTTGCGTGCCGCCGTCGTTCTGATTGGCTCATTAGATGCGGTCCACCTCTAGTCTTCTAAATTTGACCAGAGTACTTAACTCGATTTTGGTTTCACGAATCGTATAAAGTACCTGATTTGTAAATTGAAAACCCATCAGCAGACGTTGTTTGTTCCTGCGCCTTCACTGATAATACGAGTATATCTTTGCTGTAGCTCGGTTGTTAAGGAAAGGATAATTTATTTGTGGTATTTATTATTTACTATCACCAATGTCTTGACAGATACCGTTCTCAAGCCATCACTCAGGAACAAGAAAACTGTTTATAGACCAGATGAGAAGGACTTCAGACAGACTCACGTAAGTTTATGATGCGCCTGAGTGCATTGTGTTCCTCCTAGCCTCCGAGCAAGCTCCGGCTCCATTTGGGGGAGTCTCAATAAGTCACGTAACGGAACGCGAAAGGAGACGCAAGTGCGAGGGACTCCGTTTCCTCTGCCTCTCGCGATTTCGTCGCTCGCTCGCTCGCTTCCTCGACGTTCTCTCATAGCTCCATTCGCTCGACATAAATTGCTCACAGGCTGTGTTCCTCCTAACAGACTTGGCTACATGTACTGTTTTTCTTTTTTCAACATGCAGGCCACAAACTATGTTTTGGCTCATCAGGAGGAAGATTCCGCTGGTGAAATAGAGACCAAGTTAATCAAAGTGAGTCAAAAATTGTTTATCCTGTTGTTGCATTTAATTGTTACCATGTGACTTCAAACGTTGGTTTTGAATGGGCATCACTGTAAGTGAACTGCACCGGATGCAGTAGAACAGTTATGACGGAGTTGATTCTAAAGGACTGTATCCTAGTTACGAAAAAGAAAATTGTTGTCTTGAGTTCACGTCCTCCATGAAACGTAAGACCAGGACGTTTCACGTCGTAATCGTGCAACAACGGCAATTAAACTTACAAAGAATTGTGATGTACGTGCAATGTTGTTGCATTGCTTATCTGAACTTATTGCTTTTTCGCCGTTCTCGTGGTCGTCGCCATCGTCGTTGCTTAAGCTGCCTACTGTGAGATTAGGAAGCTCGCCTTCTATTTCTGTTAAGGATAATTCAAGTTTGATGCTATTGGCAGGGCGACGTTTTCCAAACAGTGGGAGGAGGTCACTCTATCCAGTTTACAGAAGTTGAAACTCTGAAAACAAGATCTGATGAACTTACAAGTCCTGGAAGGTTTGTTCTAGTCGTTACAAACTTTGGCTGTTGTATTTGTAACGCGTTTTGGTAGTGATTACATTGAACACTTTTTCTCACAAGAGTGGCCAATTTCAAAAGTACACAAAAATTCCCAATTGAATTTGCTAAAATTTTGAAATAGTAAAAGGAGATAGTACTATCAAAGAGGTTGGGATGGCGGGCACTGCAGCATTTCATCCACAGACTCAACTGGTAGAACTTCCTTACAACCGGACTTCCTCCATCATTCGTCACTCAGGTAGTGGAAGAGTGAGGAAATTTCCTGTGCTGTCATTGACCAAGTCTTCTGCACACAGCAGGATGAAAAATTGGTGTTATACTGTCTTACGCTTAGATCTTCATGCCTCACGAAGTTATTAGAACTTGAGTTACAAGATGAACACTGTATCGATACCAAAATCTAAATGCACTCTGAGAGCATCAAATATGATTCTATGTGATTGTCTTCTAATTCTCGCTGTCTGTTTGAATACTATAGGAAAAGGCGAGCGTCTGATTCAATCGATGATGATAGCCGCTCCAGTTGGACGGATGTAGAAACCAGGGTAAGCACGAGTTCCATATAATTCTTCACCACCTGACTATAATTGGTGTTGCCGGATCTGTGACGGTTTCATTAAGCCTCCTTCATGCACTTACGTTTGTTTCAAGGAGTTGTTTGTCACTCCAACTCGCTCTCAAGAAGGCGTGGCCGGCTACCCAAATCTCGACATTGTTTGTCGTTTTATCTATTGTTGAACCCCAAAGTAGCCTTGAAGTGTTTGTTTCTTCCTTGTAACCTTGGGGTCCCTTAGCCCTTGGGCATTGGCGCATTCAGAATTTCTGTACTCAACCCTACTGATAAGGCGCCCGTTGTGGTTCAAACTGTTTTCTTACTTTTCTGTTAATAAGCTGTTTGTACTTTTTTTGTATTTCCAGTGTTCCACAGCGATCGAAGGCCGACCAGGAATGGGCCCCAGTTACAGCCACATAGCATCTAAGTACGTACTATTTAGCAATTATTCCTCGAGCCCGGATGGGCCTTCGACCTCATTGGCTATTGACTCAGAGGCCATGAGGGCAAGAGGAATAATTGTTTTAGTAAAATCCAACTAGTTGGTCAAAAATATCGAGAATAAAAAATTTTAGCTAGTTAAAGCTGCACTTTAATCCTTTTTTGCCGCCAAAAGCCCGCGCTTTTCGCTACTAGTGGGCTATAACATATAGCCTAGTAGTAGCTCAACCAATCAGAACGCAGCATTGATAATAGACCACTAGTTGGATTTTACTAATATATAATAGCAAAGTTGCTTCAACTTGCGCGCAGGGGTAACGTTTGAAAAAGTGAAAATACTACTTGTGGAAGAATTAAGTGACCAGTTGTTTTTGACGTTATTTATGCCAATACCTTCTTTGTTTTTCTTACCTTAGAGTGTCTTATGTTTCCAGTGTGAATCATGCCTTTCAAGGCTCCTCCCTAACACCTGACTATAATTGGTGTTGCCGGATCTGTGACGATTTCATTAAGCCTCCTTCATGCACTTACGTTTGTTTCAAGGAGTTGTTTGTCACTCCAACTCGCTCTCAAGAAGGCGTGGCCGGCTACCCAAATCTCGATATTGTTTGTCGTTTTATCTATCGTTGAACCCCAAAGTAGCCTTGAAGTGTTTGTTTCTTCCTTGTAACCTTTGGGTTCCTTAGCCCTTGGGCATTGGCGCATTCAAAATTTCTGTACTCAACCTTACTGATAAGGCGCCCGTTGTGGTTCAAACTGTTTTCTTGCTTTTCTGTTAATAAGCTGTTTCTACTTTTTTTGCATTTCCAGTGTTCCACAGCGATCGAAGGCCGACCAGGAATGGGCCCCAGTTACAGCCACATAGCATCTAAGTACGTACTATTTAACAATTATTCCTCGAACCCGGATGGGCCTTCGACCTCACGGGCTATTGACTCAGAGGCCATGAGGGCAAGAGAAATACTTGTTTTAGTAAAATCCAACTAGTTGGTCAAAACTATCGAGAATAAAAAATTTTAGCTAGTTAAAGCTGCACTTTAATCCTTTTTTTGCCGCCAAAAGCCCGCGCTTTTCGCTACTAGTGGGCTATAACATATAGCCTAGTAGTAACTCAACCAATCAGAACGCAGCATTGATAATAGACCGCTAGTTGGATTTTACTAATATATAATAGCAAAGTTGCTTCAACTTGCGCGCAGGGGTAACGTTTGAAAAAGTGAAAATACCACTTGTGGAAGAATTAAGTGACCAGTTGTTTTTGACGTTATTTATGCCAATACCTTCTTTGTTTTTCTTACCTTAGAGTGTCTTATGTTTCCAGTGTGAATCATGCCTTTCAAGGCTCCTCCCTACGTTCATAGCTAATTACCTTTTTTTTTTCAATTTCAGAAAAAAGAAACCTTGAAAGGGAGCGAACTTTGAAAAGTGAACACAGAATATTGCGTTAATGTTTAAATTTATAGTGAAAGTTATGTTTCATTCTGCCACCCTTGGATGGACATTACAGCGAAATGTTTCTGACTTGGCAGGAGTTATTCTACACTAAGAAATGCCGGCCAATTAGGGCGCTCGGTATTCTTAAACCATATAGGTCTTATCACGGTTTTCGACGCCATCTTAACGAGTAGGCAACCGCGTGAGAAATTACAGTGTTTGTATGAGAATCTAATGTGGAATAATTTCCGTAAAACGGCTTTTCTGAAAAAAATATGAACTGTAAACTAAAGCTACACAGCAAAGGATTTTACTATCAAATTTTGGGGGCCGTTACTGTGCTTAAATTTCTCCAGACGCTTGCTTCAGATTTTCCACATATTGGTCTGCAATTTTTTCCCTGGAAACGTTTACAGGCAAATGTATAGAAAATTTTAAAAAGTGGTTCTAACGCATATAGCTGCATGTAACGACCTCATATTTTTTCAGAAGAATCATTAGGAGTGAAAATTTAGTTTACAATTCATATTTTTTTCAGAACAGCCGTTTTACGGAAATTTTTGGACATTACATTCTCATACAAACACTAATTTCTCACGCGGTTGCCTACTCGTCAGGCCTATTGTTAGCTCATGAAACAAGACGTGGTTGATATTAAAAACACGACTCGCACACTTAACTCCTTCATGGGTCAGTTAAAGAAAGCTTTTACAGGTACAATTCACAAGTGCAGAGATTGATTTAGGGTTCGAAAACAATACCTACACTTGTAAATTTCAGTTTAAGTTTCATTAAATCGACCCATGATTTCTCACTTCAATCTACTTAACAGACGGTACTTATTGAGATTTTAAATTGATTTTTTGCGCATTTTTTCGAATTGCGGAAATACCTCAGGCTCATTGCCTCACTAAATAAACCCTGCTTCGGCAGCGGTTGGATGCTAACATATTTGAATGAGAGCTGCATATAAGAAACGGCTGAGAACAGCATTTACTACCTCGCCGCTGTAAAATTAAAAGGAATAGTTTTAATTATTAATCGCAATCAAGATTTATGCTGTTGTCTTTTTCTTTCAAAGATCACAAGATCAATTTGTGTTGTACGCAGCTGTTCTGTCTCGGCACAAAGTGGGGAAGAACGTTACGTATCGAGACAAAGAACGGCTCCGTAGGAGAGATCAGAGAGAGTCGGTTGCCTGTTCTGTCACATGCAAATTTCAACTCTGCCGGCAGTCTCTCAGGTGTGGCTGCCAACAAGATTCATTTTTATCCCTTCTGTTTTCGTTTTAGTCATATTTCCATTTAGTCGTAAGATAAATAGCCTATTGTACAAAGTTGTAGGTAATGATTAATGAATATAATTGCTTTACTCTTATCATGCTGTGTCCCTGCTTTCTTGCCGCCACTTCCCTAACACGTTACCTAATAATCTCTTGAAATAATGAGTGTATGCAGCATATAAATATGCAGTTGTGAAAAGAAAGCCTGAAAAAAATCATTCTTGCCTGGATGATCTTCTTGATATTTATTAATTTATTTATTTCTTCAAAGGTTTTAGGTTCAAACCCCGGCAAGACTGAAATTTTTCAGGCCTTTTTTTTGCAAGTGCAGAAGTTGCATCTTTAACTGCTATGATCTTCTTTACGTTATTTTTTCTCTATTCTGCAGTTCCAACATATGAAATTCATATTCAGTCGAACCTCGCGTGAACTTGCAGTCCGTTTTCTCTTATAATCCGTTTAGTTCTCATCCCAGCAAACGCCTTGCAAACTACGACGTTATAGAAAGGATTTTTTTTTTTTTTTTTGTGGGCTTACGCCTTTGTTTATCGTTTTGCTGCTTCACCGTAAAGTAACTTTGAAAAGAAAAACATTAGATTGCTCGCAGTCTATTGTGTCATCTCTAGGATGTCAAGAGAGCTAGTACTCAATTTTTTTTGATAACAAGTTTCGTTTTTAATATTTTTGAAGAGACGTGTCCTATAATCCTTTAAAATTTTCATTCAAAAGCGGTTGATTCCTTGTAATTCCGGTCAATCTAGGCTACTTTTCCCGCAGATTCCTGCTGTTAGCCGTAGCGATAAAAAATGAATTTCACGAAAAAAAACCATACCGGCTTCCCGCCAAAATAAAACTCTTCCCTCAATCAGTTTTTTTCGTTCAGAAACCATCTCCAAAGTAGCCTACTGCAGTAAAGTGAAACCCCGCCTTATGCACCTATCAATGTAAATCCCGTGGGGGGGCGGGGGGAGTGCGGGCAAGGGGCGGGGATTTGATGCCTGAGACTATCCCCCTGTCGGGCTTTTGATCGTGCGAAGCGACCCCGGGGTCGGGTTTAACCTTGGGTTTGGGTCGGGACATTTGACTTTGACCGACAGAAGCCTGGTATCAATTCAGAAGGGTCGTCCCTCGAGGCTTTCTGAAAGTCACGCTGTTGGAGAAAGGTGTGAAGTTTTCATTTGTTTTAATCGCCATAATCCGATACTTAAAACTGTCATCTAAACAGATAATGTTTATTTTGAGAAAGTTTTTATCTTCAAGTTCCCATCTGATTGTAAAACTCGATTGAAATCGAATTCCGCCATGAAAGTCAGAGGATTTTTTACGGAACACTGATCCGACCTGTTCGACATGTTGAGCAGATGTCATATGGCCGTTTTATGGGTTTTTATGTAAACGGTTTTCTCTCTCTATAAAGGTTTACCTTTACCCCATAAAACGGCCATAAGTCGGCCCGTGGACCACACAGGAGAGACGTAACACACATTTTAAGTAAGGTAAGCTGTTTTTTATTGAAGTCCTTCCATTTCCGTAAGTTACAGAAACGATAGGTTTTTTCCCATACAAATCCTTATATTGAATGTTACGCAACAATGCCGATGCTCGCCGATGCTCGCGCGCTCATATTTCGAGCTTGGGCTGCCTGTGGTATTACGAAAGGAAAAACTGTTTGAATGCAGAAGTCCTCGCAACACGTAACTAAAACTGACTGGTTCCTCAGGGAAAGGGAAAAAAGTATCTTTTTAGTCAACAGAGTGACGTTTAAGCACTGAATTGCTGTTCTGAGTTTTTTTGTGGGAACATCATATCGTGCAGAATATTTTAGCTCATCTTACATGACGTGAACGCTGTTTTCCAGTCAGCGGACAAGCCGGCAAAATTCCCGGATATTAATCCATGTGACTCTCGAGTTTGTTGTTAAAATTTGGTGTAAGGGCGCAAATTCTTCTCCCGTTTTAAAGGTATGACAGTCCATTTTGTAAGCCTGTCTTATACTTAGAACCTATATTAAAACATTGGTTGAATTGGAGACTCTTTGAGTCGCTACGTTCTCGATAAGTCGCTCACCTTGCTCGCCACAGTGCGGCATTCATCACTCAGACACTAAATGTACGTGACTACTGTAGTTGTTTTTTCTATAGATTTTACAAAAAATGCGTCGAGGACGTGGTAGAGGAATGCGTGGAGGACCTGGTCGAATGCCACCTTACATGCGTGGCCCACCGGGGCAGAAGTTTGTAGTGAGCCATTCCACTTTTGATCCAGTTTTAG